AAATCGGCGCGAACGGGCTCGTGAGATCAGCCAGGGTGGCTCCCCCTTGGGGCTCCCAAATGATGCCCCTGGCAGCGTTTTGCGACCATGAGGCTCTCAAGAGATACATGTTGGGGGCGCCAAACGGCAATTCTAGCTGAGACGTCCCACCAAAATCGGCGCGAACGGGCTCGTGAGATCAGCCAGGGTGGCTCCCCCTTGGGGCTCCCAAATGATGCCCCTGGCAGCGTTTTGTGACCATGAGGCTCTCAAGAGATACATGTTGGGGGCGCCAAACGGCAATTCTAGCTGAGACGTCCCACCAAAATCGGCGCGAACGGGCTCGTGAGATCAGCCAGGGTGGCTCCCCCTTGGGGCTCCCAAATGATGCCCCTGGCAGCGTTTTGTGATCAGGAGAAAGTGTGAGTGTGAGCTTAACTTTTCTTATCTTATCTTGAAATCTCTTCTTATCATATCTTGTGCTATCTTATCTTATCTTGTAGTATCTTATCTTGTCTTGTTTTACCTGGTGATTAGCATTGGGAGGAGGGAGGCGCGAGCGGGAGGAAGGAGGAGGAGGAGTGGGAGGCGTCAGAGTAATAACAAGAACCCCAATCCTTAGGATATGGGGAAAAAGGTCCCCCGACTATTATTTGACCATGTTTGCATAACCCTGGGAAGCAAACGGTAACCCCCCCGGCGATATCGCTAGCACAGAAAATAAAATAAATAATCATTTTGGGCGGCGCCCTCCGGCGATATCGCTAGCACATTAAAAAATAAATTTAATTAATTAATTTGCCCCCCCCCCCGGCCCGAAGCCGGCGGCAACGTGAGGCGACAGCCTGAAGAACCAATGCGCACGAACGCTTGCCAATGGGTTCCCGCCTTGCTAGAACACTGGGAAACTGACGCGCATCGGAAATCAAAGGTAAATCAAAAATGACAAACAATGAAATCACCGCAGCAGACGGATTCCGCGAACCCCCCCGCGATGTGTTAGCACATTTATTGAAAATGAAATAATCCACAAGCGCCGGAGGTCGATGTGATGCTCCCTTCAGGGATTGTCGAAGGAATGTCAGAGGAACCTGGAAGGACCCCCAAAGGAATCCCAGAAGAACATCACAAATAATCCCACGCATGATATCAAAGGAACCAATGGAAGTTCAAAGCAATCTCAAAGGAGCCCAACAGAAATCGCAAAGGCATCTCAGCGGCAGCTCAAACGAACCACGAAGGAATCTAAGGAATTTGGAAAACGCGGGCTCGCGTGGACATAAGCCATCCCTATGGCGACCGCACTAGGGAAATTGATTATTTCAGGGGATCCTATGGGAGAGTCCACGGAGAGATATCGCAGACGGATTCCGCGAACCCCCCCGCGATATGTTAGCACATTTATTGAAAATGAAATAATCCACCGGCCCCGGATGTCGATGTGATGCTCCCTTAAGCAATGGGGCATCAAAGGGATACGACCGGAACCTCAAGGGACCCCCAGAGGAGTCTCAAAGGAGTCCCAAAAGAATCACAATGGAAACGGCAAGGAATCTCAAAAGAAGCCAATCGGAGTATCAAAGGAATCTCTGGGGAATCTCACAGAAACGCACAAAATCACAGGAAGCGACTCTGGGCAAGTGTGCCTTGTCGCTGGGCTCGGGGGAACAAGGGGACCGGGCATTCAGAGGCTTGTGGAGGCCTTTCTGGATGCCTCCTGGGAACCTCCGGGGACCTCCCCTCCGCGGACCTCTGGTGACCTGCGGGGGATATCGCTTCCGCCCCGGCCCCGGTGCCGGAAGCGTTATAATTTCCTCTGATGAGGGGGGGGGGGGGGGGGGGGGTTTACTGATTGCTTCCCAGGGTTATTCCTCCTGTAGGAGGGGCAGGCCCGACTGAAGTATATACTTCTCGGAGGGCGAAGGATGCAGGAACAACCAAAGGGCATAGACATAAACTCTCGGAGGTCCACGCGGGCCTCCGACAGTGTGTGCTCATGTGCTTGTTTGTTCCACGTGAGCTTGCAAGCACACCGTTTTCCACCGCCTGATTCCAGGGTTTTGCCCTCTCTTGGCCTTGACGTGAGGCCCCTCCTTCTGCCTTCCCCCCTCTGTTACTTGGCTCCAACAAAAGTTTCCTTGGAAACTCGCAAGAGGAATAAAATGTATGTAAACCCGTCGGCAAGATGAGAAGTCGCGCGCGCGTGCTCAGCGTTCGCACGCACGCGATCCCAAGACGTCCCATGGCCACAACATGCTTCCAGGAATGCCTCAGGCCACGGACGATAACGTCCAGAGGACCCAGGATGATGCCACCCCAAAGCGATCCCGCCATGGATTCTGGACCGTCTCAGGCCGACTCGCAGATGACGAAACACATGAGCAACGCGTGACGCCGAGATGGCCCGATGGCAACAAGATGGATCCAAGCGCACCCAGGGTGGCCTCATAATGACCACGCGATGGTTGCGTGATCCAAACATGACCGGGATATGATCTCAAGATGACCTCAAGACGACCCCAACACGGCAATAATACTGCAACTTATGAGCCCCATCTTACTTCGAGCCGATCCCAGCATGGTGGGATCCGTGAACGGCCCGGGATTTTGGTCTACCCCATTTTTAATGGGTGGGATTTTGATCGTCCTGAACTAAACTTATAATATTAAAGCGGAATAAGCCAGGCGGGATCCCGCCCGGCCCACGGAGGAAGACAACATTGCTAGGCTTCTACGGGGGTAGGGGGTTCGGAAGGGGCGTCGTTTACTTCCGCTGACATTGGCAAGCCTTCCGGCGGCCTTCCCCCGTCTTCCGCCTCGTTTTACTTCCGTCGACTTCCGCCGGCCAGCGTCGTGATGAAAATTCCAAGAAATTTCATTGGGCCGATGTAATTAAAGCTGTGCGCGGCCCGCTTAGCTTCGACCGGAAGAGGTACGCTCTCGACCCGCGGATCAAAAAGTTCCCCGTGAGCGAGCGTTTTCTTCGGCGCTTCGAAATTGGGCGGAAGGGGGGGGGACCCGGGGGGGGTTCTGGCTCCGGATCTCTGCCGAACGCGGCTGCTTGCAGCGGTGCGTCCCGTGGGGGAGAGACTCCACCTGCTCGCACCAGGCGCCAAAAACAGCCAAGATCTGCTCCAGGGGGGGGGGTGAAAGAGACGGCGCTGATCGGCAAAGCAATGAATAAAACACTATCACTTGTTTGTTCCCCGAAAACAATGTGGGTCCGCACGGCCACCGGTCGGAATCGATCCTGGGCCACCCTGTATTGCAATTTCAGGCCGTGGCGACGCCGTCCCTGGTTGCTGACACCGCGTGAACGGTTCAGTCTCGAACGATCTCCTTGTCTCGGAGGTCCCCCAAAACTCTTGACTTATGTTGCTCCCATCGTACCTAAGGGCCACATCCCAGAAATAATTTCGAGCACCCAGAAAAGTGTCGAAAGAGTGTCGAAAGAGTGTCTCCCAGGGCCCGCCACGTGAAAACCCTCGAGTTGCGGTAGCTGTTTCTGGTGCTCGGAGCTCTTCCCGGTGGTCAAGGCTACAGCAGGTTGGAACATCATAACTCTCGATCCGATCTCGACGATGTGGACTTCCTGCTCGGCTCACCACACTCCGTGCCTCGCGCCCCCGTGCTGCGCGGCACGGGCTCCTCTTCGCGCTCTGGGACCCTCGCGCGCCCCCCCCCCCAGGCAAGGGCAGCTGCTCCGGCCCGGGCCCGGGCCGCGACGCGCGAGGCGCGATCCTCTCCGTCGGACTCGGTTGGACAGGACGCGCGAGACGACACAGGACCCTTCCGCGGTCCACATCGCCATAGGAATGCAGGAGACATGGGTCGCAGGACACAGGACACGAGGGTACCCTTGATCTGGCAAGGGTCGACCTGCTAATCCGGGCCGCCTGTATTACTCGTCCCCGGGCTCAGCACTGAACGCCCGCTTCGGCGCCGCCGCCACGCCGAAGCGGCACGAAAACCCGCCGTGCCTGCGCGGGCCGCCGGGGCCCCCCCGCACCGTCGGCGTTCCGAGCGCGAACGCCTGGGGGACGCGCTCCGTCCGCCACAGCCACCCTGCTGCCTTCCAGGAGCGCCGAGCGAGGAACGAAAGAGCCTTCTTCTTGCAACGGCGCGCCTCGTCCACGAATAGGTTCCCCGACCTGCCCAGGCAGCCTCCGTCGTGCTCTTGTCACAGCGCGTTTCCACCGAAGTCTGGGCCCCTTCCCCAGGACCCGCCTTTCATCCCGAACCGTGTTTTGACGTTCCTGTGGCCCGGTGAGGGCCCCCTGGAGGCAGACAACTCGCAAACCACAGCACACCGTGATTGCTCACGGCGAGAGGGTGTCAGGGTAGATTTAGGTCGGGCATGTCCTCCTACAGGCGAATTTTGGGAGAAAAATGAAGAATGGACAAACTACTCAAACGTAGTCAACAAGGCACGAAGAATCGTCACCTGGCTATGTTTTCCCATATTGAATTGAATCTTCCTCCCGTCGAGGGACATGCCCGACTTGAGGGTACATCTGAGGAGCGGCTCGAAAGTACGAGTCCCGCCCGATCCCGAAGTGGTCCTCATCTCAGCGTTATTATCGTGGATGGACAGACCTCCCTTTAGTAAAACTTGGTTTAGTGAAAACGACCTGAGGCCAAAAACTGGCGGGCGCAAGCCTGGCAAATAGTGGCCACGGTGCCATCTCGAGAACCGAGAACGGACAATCCACTAATCGACGTGTCACTGTTGGGGGCTCTGTCCACCCCCGATCTTAGGGGAACGAAGAATGACACAAGCAGAAAAACTCGGAGGTCCGTGCGGATTTCTCGGGTCCGCGCTGGACTTCCCTGGCGTCGCCTCCAGCGCCGCCCCTGGCGCGCTCCGCGCGCCAGGGAGGGGGCCCCAGCGCCGATCCGAGATTCCCGCGCGAACCTCAGAGTTTTTGTTTGTTTGTGTCATTCTTCGTTCCCCTGGTCATGGCTGCTTTCGGCGCGCCGGGGGGCGCGCGGAGGGCCGTCCTGGGCGTCCACGCGGACCGTCACCACGGGTCGCAGGTGGCACATCCTCCC